CCTGCCGAGTCCTTTGGTTCCCGGAAAATAACTTTTAGACTCATGCTTGAGCTTCACTTAGATGGTGGACCTCCCTGATGCCTCCGATGATCTGGAACTTAGCTAAAAACAGACTATAAGCATGACGCAGAGCCACTTTTGGGGACTGCAGTCTAGATGGGACTCTTTCCTCTTGAGCAGCACCGTGGTCTGGGATTCTCCTGTCTTCATTTCTTAGCTGATAAGGCAAAGTGGCGCTATAAGCTATTAGAATATTTTTGGGGAATCTGTTGACTTACAGTTCATTACCTTGGTTATTATTATTGTACAGAATTTATATAGCGCCAACAGTTTGCGCAGCGCTTTACAATATAGGGCAGACATTACAATAACAATACAATTCAAGATGGTAAGGAGAGCCCTGCCACTGAGGGCTTACAATCTAAAAAGGGAGGGGCCAGTCATACATGAGGAGGGAGCTGTGTGGGGATGAATTGTCTGAGAACGTGATGGTTGAGCGCTTAGGTTGAGGTGGGATTGGCTTCCCTGAAGAGATGAGTCTTTAGGGATCGCCTAAAGGCAGTCAAGTGTGTCGACAGATGGACAGGTTGGCGTAAAGAATTCCAGAGGATGGGAGAGACTCTAGAGAAGTCCTGGAGGCGAGCATGGGAGGAGTTGACAAGGGAGCTGCAAACATTTATCACGGTGCTCCTTGTTAGAATAAACACTTTCCTGCCATTTTTTTAGGTCCTGAAACATTTGCGGCACCTAAATTTCACCAACAACATGGGGGAGCAGGTGGACTTCAATGACTTTGGAGACCTGGTGGGGAACTACACCATCATTAACTGGCACCTGTCCAAGGAGGACGGCTCGGACGAAGTGGTCTTTGAAGACATCGGCCACTACAACGTGTATGCCAGGAAGGGGGAGAGGCTTTACATTAACGAGAGCAAGATCCTGTGGAGTGGATTCTCCCGCGAGGTAGGTGACGTTATTTTGGGGATGTGCAGGTGACCCCGGAGGCGTTTTTTTTTACATATTTGTGAATGAAAAGAGCAGAATCCAGAATACATTATAGTAAGGGTTGTAAGGCACTCTACTTGCATGCCTGCTGGTAATTATTTGGTGTCTCCAGCTTGGAATTTCCACCACTCGGATGTTTTACCATTATGGCTAAGCAGCACTGAGGCTTCCAACGCTTGGTGCTTGTCAATTCTATTTTTCATCGGGTTCTAAAGTCTTTACTGCTCCTGTGCAATTTTGTGGCTGGTAATGGAAACAAAGTGTTTACATAGCTAGATATACACTATATTGCCAAAAGTATTGGGACGCCCCTCCAAATCATTGGATTCAGGTGTTCCGTGACATTTCCTGGCTACTAAATATTCCGCAGTCACCTGTTACTGGTATTATAACAAAGTGGAAGCAACTGGGAACAACAGCAACTCAGCCAGGAAGTGGTAGGCCATGTCACATGACAGAGCGGGGTCAGCGCATGCTGAAGCGCACAGTGCGCAGAAGTCGCCAATGGTCTGCAGAGTCAATAGCTACAGACCTCCAAACTCCATGCGGCCGTCAGATTGGCACAACAACAGTGCGTAGAGAGCTTCATGGAATGGGTTTCCATGGCCGAGCAGCTATACACCATATCCTAATCACCTTGTGCCCAGGCAGATGTTGATTGCCCCAAAACACCTAGGATGTGATTAGGTAGCTAGAACTGGGGGGTCCCACAACTTTCACACCTTCCCATCCTGTGATTGGATGAAGGTGTCTGTGCTACTTGTGGATATAAATACAGATACATCTTCCCGACACTCGTGGGAATTGAAGAAGTGTCTTGGAGAACTTATAAAACATCTTCAACATTACAGAACAAGTCCAGTAAATGTGAATTACTACTACTAGCTATGCCATGACCTGGACAAATGAGGTCCGCCACAGACATAACGTGACTTGGTTTGGATTCCATTTTCTTCAAAAACAATCTTTGTTTTACCTCTTCCACTCCTGCAGGTTCCATTCTCCAACTGTAGCCGAATCTGCCACGAAGGCACCCGGAAAGGGATTATTGAGGGTGAACCGACCTGCTGCTTCATGTGCGAGCAGTGTCCCGATGGAGAGTACTCAGATGAGACAGGTAACTAGACAGGACCCAGAACCTGGATGGAGACTTTCGCTGTTTGATTATGTGCCATGAGGCTTCTCTAGGGACCAGAGATGGTGGTTGGTACTTGATACTCATTATGTCGGGGGTCTCTTAGGGTGATCCGCATTATACCGTGGTTCCCCGAAAATAAGACAGTGTCTTATATATTTTCTTTCCACGAAAAAAGACATTAGGTCTTATTTTTCGGGCGATGTCTTATGTGTACCTGGCTGCAGCTGTCCGTTCTCCGCTCGTGCGTGCGTGAGCTGCGGCCGCTCCCAGCTCTAATGCCGTCCAGGGAGCCAGACAGGTGGGCATGCGGGCAGGGGGGGCCTGGCCGGGGGGGGCGGAACCTACCACCAAACTAGGTCTTATTTTCGGGGTAGGTCTTATATTACAGAAATCCCTGAAGATAGCGCCAGGTCTTACTTTCGGGGAAACACGGTAATAATCAGCAAACTCTAACCTAATGCGGAGTCCTCTATGACATTAGAAGCTAAAGGATGCAGTGTGCAGAGCAGGACAGAACAAGTAGGGCTGTGACCCGATTCGGATACTGATGGGCTATTGACGTTCGTGTCTGCCCCTGGCCAGGAGTGGCTCGGAGATTTTGGGCTGAAGCCACCGGGTGCTAGAAGAGCCTCTCCATGTCGCAGTTGTAGAACAAGACCCAACAGTATATTATTTTATTTAACTCTACAAGTAATATTTTTGAGAAAACAGAAGGAAAACTTAAGAGACAGACCTAAAGCAAAGGCAGACTTTATCCTTTTACAATTTGCATATTAAAAATGAGTATGCTAGCATTGTAAATGATGTATTCCTCTACCTGTATGCAGGTAGAAGGGGGGAAAAAAATGGCAGAAAACTGCATGGGGTCCACTGGTCAGGGTTTGGCCAACTGGTGATGTGAGTGAGCCATCTAGTGGCAGATCTCTATAACAGCACTTATGGCAAGCAACACTGCTTGGTCCCCATCTAGCTTTTTAAGATGTCAATGAAAGGGCACCTTCAGTTAGGTTTCCCATTCAAATGAATTAGAACGGTCTCAGTTCACATGTAACGTAAGCGCAGAGATGTAGTTGATATTGCACGCCTTCACAGATCTATATTCACATATACACAACGTCTGAGTAAGGATGCACTGATACTAGTATTGATATCGGTCGAGTACCCGAGTATTTGGGCGAGGACTCGTACTCGCCCAAATGTTCCAATGCCTACCCCGATACTTCTTGTATCAGGAAGCTGGGCAGCGCATCATTACACGCTGCCCGGTTTCCCGATTGGCTGGGAAATGGCTCTATGCTCTCTCGTCACTTGTGATGAGAGAGCATGGAGCCGACTTCCCGGCCAAATCAGGAAGCCAGGCAGCGTGTAATGACGCAGCACCCAGCATTCTGATTGGCCGGGAAGCTGGCTTCATGCTCCATCATCTCATGACGGGGGAGCATGGAGCCAGCCTCCCGGTCAATCAGAAAGCAGGGCGTCGTGTCATCACGCGGCGCCCGGCTTCCTGATTGGCCGGCCAGACGGCTCCCGCCCGGATACCGGAGGAAGACCACGTTCTGGCTGGAGAGGCCCCGGTTGTGACAGGTTGGACAAGGAAAGAGAGGACAGACTTTCTTGTTAATCGGGAAGCCGGGTGGCGAGTCTTTACACGCTGCCCGGCTAATCAGGAAGCCAGGTGACGAGTCATTACAAGCCGCCTGGCTTCCTGAATGGGACTACCGGTACTCGGTATCGGCAAGTACCGAATTTTTTTTTCTCGGTACCAAAATACCGGTATTGGTGCCTCCCTACATCAGAATGACAGAAATGTGATGCCCATTGAGAATATTGTTCAGAATTCCTTTTTTCACTCCATATGGTGCAGCAACAAAATACCTTTTATATCTTTATGGTGATTATTAAGTGAAAATTGCAGACACTTGCCGTGACATGGTTTTGCCCCTTGGACAATGCCACCAAGCCTCATAAATGCTTTATATTAGGACAGGCCTAGTAGACTGTAGTCTGCACGGTAAGGAAGAAGCCTCCATTGAGGTAAGAGTGACACCATTACATGACCCCTGTGATAACACAACTCTCTTTTCCAGATGCAAGCTATTGTGAAAAATGTGGTCCGGAAATGTGGTCCAATGAAAACCACACATTCTGCATTTTCAAGGAGATCGAGTTCCTGTCTTGGACGGAACCATTTGGGATTGCGCTCACCATGTTCTCCATCTTGGGGATATTCCTGACGTCCTTTGTCCTCAGCGTGTTTATAAAGTTCCGCAACACACCCATCGTCAAGGCAACAAACCGCGAGCTCTCCTATCTCCTCCTCTTCTCATTGCTGTGTTGCTTCTCCAGTTCCCTCTTCTTCATCGGCGAGCCGGAGGATTGGACATGCCGCCTTCGGCAACCGGCCTTCGGCATCAGTTTTGTGCTATGCATCTCCTGCATCCTGGTAAAAACCAACCGCATCCTGCTCGTGTTCGAAGCCAAAATCCCCACAAGCTTTCAGAGGAAATGGTGGGGCCTGAACCTCCAGTTTCTCCTCGTTTTCCTGTGTACCTTCGTGCAGATTGTAACGTGCATCATATGGCTGTACACAGCTCCTCCGAGATCCGCTAAGAATCACGAGGACGAGATCATATTTGTCATTTGCAATGAGGGGTCGTTGATGGCTCTTGGGTTCCTGATTAGCTACATATGCCTGCTGGCAGGAATCTGCTTTTTCTTCGCTTTCAAGGCACGGAAGCTGCCGGAAAACTTCAACGAAGCCAAATTCATCACATTCAGCATGCTCATATTCTTCATTGTCTGGATATCCTTCATTCCAGCCTATGTAAGCACCTACGGGAAGTATGTGTCAGCTGTTGAGATCATCGCCATCCTGGCCTCAAGTTTCGGCTTGTTGGCTTGCATCTTCTTCAACAAGGTCTACATCATCTTGTTCAAACCCTCCAGGAACACCATCGAAGAGGTCCGCTGTAGCACGGTGGCCCACGCTTTTAAGGTTGCAGCCCGAGCCACCCTGAGACGCAGCAACGTGTCCCACAAAAGGTCCAACAGCTTGGGAGGATCTGCAGGCTCTACCCCATCGTCCTCCATCAGCAGCAAGGGCAACCACGACGAACACTTCACGGCTGCCGACCGAGCAAGAAGCTGCAAACAGAAAGTCAGCTTCGGCAGTGGCACGGTCACTTTATCCCTGAGCTTCGACGAACCTTCCAAGAATTCGGTGTCCAACAAGGCCATAAGGCCGAAGAATTCCCTGGAAGGGAAGAACAGCGATGACAGCTTGATGAGACACAAAGCTTTGCTCCCCCTGCAAAACAGCGATGGCGGGAGCGAATCCAGCTTCCGGACGGCCTCCAACGTCGATGAGTCGGAGCATCAGGAGTCGACCGGCCAAGCCAACCCCGACAGCCAAACCGCGGCGGCTTCTTCGGCTCAGACAGAGATGATGAAGAACGAGGTCGATGGAACGATGGCAGAAAATATGATGAAATCTTAATTTGCAATTTTACCGTTGACCTCGTTGGGAATCTGAACCCGGATAGGACGGAAATCTTTCAAATTGAACAAAGACTCGACTTGGATTGAGCGTACACTATATTAACCGGAGACTTCTCTCTCTCTCTGTCTGTGTATTAAATGTGGACTGATTGAAGGAACATATAGGATTGTATACATTTGTTGTATGTTTTACATTTCATATTCACATAATTCCTGTTGGGGGGGG